CTCCAGCCACGCAGACCTCATGGACTGCTGGCAGCTCACATGGGCTTCTGGTCACCTTGGGAGGAAGGTGCTTATCACAGTTCCGCCCCCAAGGTCTTCCTCAGGATAATCTGTCCCTGGTGATTCATCTCGTGGGCTGGGTCCTTCCTCTCGGGCCTGAAATATCTCCCTCCCTCCACCATTCCTGGGTCAGGCCTGTGACCCACCCCCACCCCCACCATGTGACTTCCTCCGGGGCCTGGCCGTGGGCCCCTGCCTGCAGGTCAGTCCTCCAGTCCCTGGCTGCGGACCCATTTTGGGCCTGACATATCAGGCAGGGCTCAGTCGGGGCGGAGGAAACCCACAGTGTGTTTTGCTGGGGAAAAAGTGCATTCCTATGTCCGGCCCCCACCCTGGTCCAGCCTCGCCTCTGCCTTCAGCGGGCTGGGCTTCCGCTGCACATCCTGGCCCAGCCCGGCCCTTTATCACCCGGCTGCCACGTGGTGCCCTACCCCCCGGACACACATCTCCAGGGAGGCTTCCGGCCTGGCTGGGGCAGAGGGCCTGGCCACTGTGGAAGCTTCCCCCCAAGTTTGTGGAAGCGATCTTTTTCTGGAGCCAAGGAAGCTCTTTGGAGAAGGTCAGGAGATGGGCACACACCTCCCAGCTCCACTGAGAACTTGCTCTATGACTTTGGGCAAGAGAGTCTACCTCTCCAGATCTTAACTTCCCCAATTTTAAATAGAAAATACCATCTCCAGTTGCTGTGAGACTAAAGAAGGTAATACCAGTACACGGATGCCCAGGTTCTACCTCCAACCAGTAAATCAGCATTTCTGAGGGGTAGGTCCCAGGCATTGAGCACAGTGAAGGATGGGGAAAATGGTGAATAGCCAAAGCTTTAAAGCAGACCAACATGGGTTTGAATTTTGGCTCTGTTATATAATCATGGTGCCTTGAATAGATCATTAGCCTCTCAGCGCCTCCGTTGACTTGTCCATCAGATGGGAAAATAGTACTCAGTTCCCAGTGCTGGGAGGGGAATTAAAGGTATGATTGCTACCAGCTGCTTGGCACTTAGGGAGCACTCATGTGATCCTGTGAAGATGGACCCTTATCTAGTCACCACTAAACATCCAACAAGTCTGTGTCTGACCCACAGCTGGCACGTCAAACATCTGTGAGTGAATGATGAGGCTGTTGTGACTATAGATTAAAAAGTGATGAAGAAACACAAGTTACCATTGAAGATGAAGCTTGTCTTTTGACTTAAAAAACTGCATTTCCCGGCATCATCCACAGAACTCTGTTCTGGCCAGGGAGACTCAGGAGCAAGTCTTTGGGCTCCTAGTTCCTTGTGTTCCCTCTTCTTTGCTGACCTCTGGCCACCATCTTGAGAAGGACAGCAGACTGGGAAACAAGAAGGATCGGGGGATATGGTCGAGCTGCCATTGAAGCTCAGGCTGCCCAACTCTGGGCTTTATTATTTTCCCCCAAGTGAAAAAAACTTGTCATTGTTTAGACCCCTGGTTGGGAATTTTTGTTTCTACAATAGCAAAGGAGATGCTTTGAACTTCCTCATTGTCCTACTTTCTGTCCACAGCTCTCAGCCTCCAGGTAAATCTAGGACAAGACTAGCAGCCTGTGTCACATCATTCCCTCCTCAGACCTCTGGGGCTGGGTTAGAGGCACCACAGGGCATCTGCCCAGCCCTGAAACTGAGCCCTGGGGCAGAATTAGCCGTGTGTCTTGACAGCCCCCTCCGGCCTCCCCAGAAGTTTCAAGGAGAGTGACTCTCCCCTTCCCCAGATGCCAACCTCGTACCAAAAGCTCCTGTTTCCTGGGTAGTCTTTGGAGTCAGGAAAATCTAACTCGGAATCTTGACTCCTCCACTGATCTGCCATAGGCAACGTGTCTTGAACAAAGCTTGTGGTTCACATTCATCAATTGAGGCTATGCCCACCAAGAGATAAAACTAAATATGGAACCCAGAGGGAGAAAAATCAAGGTAATAGGGCTAGAGGTGAGTAATGCTTCCAAATAAACCCAGAACTAGCACTAAATATCCAAGGGAAGGGAGGTGGCAGAGTAAATGTAATATTGAAGACCTTGGCATTATGAGAACAATAGCCCAACAGCAGAAGGTTGGGTGTGGGCATGAAGAAAGTGTGAGGAACTTACCTTCATCCTCCATAGTAGGGCAAAGGGCTTCCCTGGTGGCTCAGAGGGTAAAGCATCTGCCTGCAATGCAGGAGAACTGAGTTCTAATCCCTGGGTCGGAAAGATCCCCTGGAGAAAGAAATGGCAACCCACTCCAGTACTTTTGCCTGGAAAATGCCATGGACGGAGGAGCCTGGTAAGAGTACAGCCAATGGGATCACAAAGAGCTGTACACTACTGAGCAACTTCACTTTCATAGTAGGGAAAAATTGAGCCAAGAGCAAAACGTGTAACAAAGAGAAACAATGACCCCCAACTTCTCAATGTTTTTCATAATCTTGGGAGGGGGGAAGTCTTGTAGGAAATATCTGTCATGGTAGCAAACAATAAATCAAATTAGCAACTGCTTTTATTTCATTTAAATTCTTTTTATTTTGTTAAATTCAAGTATAATAAGCTTCATATATTTATTTTAAAATTTAGCAAATAGTGTGATCCCCCTTCACAGAATTCTTTGATTCCTTTTGCCCTCCCTCCCTTCCATTCAATCTCCCTCCAGTCTTTTCTCCTTCTTGCCTCCTGCCATATATAGACCTACAAAGATAACTGTGATGCTGCTGCTAATATTAATCTTGGACATTTGGGGTACTAGAATTTGCTATGATTATCCCTAGCATCACCCCCAATTTTTGCAGCATTTTGCTATCTAGCTTGAATTCTTTAGAAAGGCATTTAGCAATTTTATGAAGAAGATAAACTCATTTGCCCCCAAAACTAACAGCACTTAGTTCATAGGGTTTGTGAGCATTGAATAAGATGACCAGGAAAGCACCTGGCATAGTGTGTTCCCCAGATCCCTGCCCTGTCATAGCGTGTCCTGTCCCTGCTCCTCCTACGTGGAAGCCCCATTCTTCTCCCTTTGGCAAACTTCTATTCATCCTCCAAAACCGACTCCAATGTGAAGTATTTCCTGACACGAACATCCCATTAAGCAGATCCTCTAGTCTGGACACAGTCCAAGTAGTGACAGCTCAGCGTCCGGGTTGACTGTTCAGAGGTCTTAGGTACTGAGGCCACCTGGGGCAGCCAAACTCCTGTTTTACTGACTTCTGTTTTGTTTTGTTTTGTTTTCTTCTTCAGGCCTCCCTTAATTCCCCAACCTTTCAGTATATCCTTTCAAACAACTGTTTTCATTTAAATTCCTAAATCCAGTTTCTGCAGCTTGCAATTCAAGTACCCACCTGTTGCCCTGCCTCCCCAGCTCTGAGTTCCAGGCTAGGAAAGGTTTGTGGATCAATCTCAGTGGAGGCCACGGACTATCCTTCCCTCAACCCAGCCTTCTGAAGGACGTGCAATGGGACACCTGTGCAACCTCATTCTTCCAGGTCCCGGGCAGGGGCGCCCACAGAGAGTTCTTGTCCTTTACTGAGAGAAGACTGGGCGACTTGCTGGTAGACACACAGCTCTGGACGGACAGGCTGCGGGCCGGGTCTCCGTGCACGTCTCCGCACTCAGGGCCCTGGCTCTCCCCCGCGTCCACCCTCGGGCTTGCTCACAGAGAGACACGCGCTCCCCGGCTCCTCAGCCCTGCCGCGAGCCCCGGGACCACGGGGTTATCAGCAGCTCCAGTCCGCAGAGGCAGAGACCGAGACTCGGCGGGGAGGGGTCGGTCCCAAGGTCCCCCGGTTGCGATGTGGGGGCCTGGACGCGAGCGAGGCCGCGACGGTCCGAAACCCAGGGGCTTCCCCTCAACCCGCGTGGCCTGTGCGACGCGGGAACTCCGGGAGGACCCCTGCGGGGTGGTATACGAGCGGCTCCCTCAGAGCGGCCCGGCCGCGGACGGGTGGGCAGGGGCAGGGGGCTCCTCGGGTGACCGGAGAAGGCGACGAGGTTGCGGGTGGAGACGGCTGTGCGGGACACAAGCCGAAGAGGAGGCCGAATAGGGCCGAGCCGGACCCGGCAAGGACCGTTGCGCCCAGCCAGGGAAGCGCGCGAATCCCGATTGTTCCACGGATCGATAGCGGCAGAGCAGGTGGGCCGAGCGGAGCTGAGCGGAGCCGAGCGGAGCCGAGCGGGGCTGAGGAGAGCCGAGCGGAGCCGAGCAGGTGGACAGAGCCCGTCGGGTAGAGCCGAGCGGAGCCGACCGGGGCCGAGCGGGGCCGAGCGGGGCTGAGGAGAGTCGAGCGGAGCCGAGCAGGCGGACAGAGCCTGTCGGGTAGAGCCGAGCGCGGCCGAGCGGAGCCGAGCGGGGCTGAGGACAGTCGAGCGGAGCCGAGCAGGCGGACAGAGCCTGTCGGGTAGAGCCGAGCGCGGCCGAGCGGAGCCGAGCGGGGCTGAGGAGAGTCGAGCGGAGCCGAGCATGTGGACAGAGCCCGTCGGGTAGAGCCGAGCGCGGCCGAGCGGAGCCGAGCGGGGCTGAGGACAGTCGAGCGGAGCCGAGCAGGTGGACAGAGCCCGTCGGGTAGAGCCGAGCGGAGCCGAGCGGGGCCGAGCGGGGCCGAGCGGGGCCGAGCGGAGCTGAGGAGAGCCGAGCGGGGCCGAACGGGGCCGAGCTAGTCCCCGGGAGCGGAGCGGGTGACCGCAGGGTGACTGAGTGGGTCCTGCCTAGTGGAGGCGGTGGCGGGACTTGGTAGGAGTGAAGCTCCTTTGGAAGTCTTGTGGTCCTTCGCGTTTAGACACCGCCTTTTCAGTCTAAACAGGGGAAGCGGGGCGCTTCGTTCGCCAGGTCCGTGAGGTAACGTCAGAGGAGTCTTTTCCTGTGGCGGCTTAGATTTCCCGCTCGGGCGGTGGATGGTGGAGACCTTGTGCCCTGTCTACTGGGACTGGGTGTCACCTCTCTGGGTTGGGGCCCTCGGGCCCGGTTAGCCTGGGAGGGGTTCCGGGGGACAGGTCTCCTGGGGCTGCCCGCCAGGTTGTTCGGAGAAGCGCGTCCCCGCCTCGTCGTCTGGCGGATGTGTCCCCGGTCTGGAGCGGGGTAGGGACGCACAGACGACCCCAGCCAAGCCTGGGCTGCGCCGGCGTTTGGACTTGAGGCGAGAGGCGCTTCTTGGGCTCCGGGTGGTGAAGGAGTCCGGAGCCGGAGGACGGCGTTGGCCCAGGCGAGGGGCGACCTCACTGAGCCCGGTTGTCACCTGTGAGATGGGGGGACACGCCCGCCTCTCAGAATGTTCAGAAAGGGGCTTAGGGGATGCTTGGGGTAAGGACTTCGGCAGTATTATCCTGTGGTCTTTATGTGGTAAGTTGTCACCCCTTTTAATTCCTAATAATAAGTGTTATGTGCCAGGCACTGTTAAGCTGAGGGCGGGGTGGGGGGGGGGGCGCATAGACATGAACATATAACCCAAAACATATAACCCTGCTTGTATTCTGGTAGGAGGCAGCTATTCCTGTGATCTGGCCCCAAAATTCAGGCAGAAGCACAGCTTGGACCAGCTGTCCACGTGGCCATCTGATCCCTTCTCACAGTCCGTGCCTGTATTCCTAGGATGGTTTGTTCTAAAACACACATTTGATCGTGTCACTTAGGTGCTAAGAGCCCTTCAGTGCCAATGAGATAAAGGCCTCCCTCAGAGCTGGCCCAGTCTGCCTTTCCAGGCACATCTCCTTTCCCTTCCCGGATTTTCAGGAACGCTTGGCTACACCCCTCTGCTCTTTGCTTCCCGCGCCCCCCCGCCCCGCGCCCCCCACCGCCGCGCCCTGTTTAGAATATTTAGAAGTGCTCGACTCGGTGTTGACACGAGATGGCGCCAGAACGGTGCGCAAGGCTTTCTCTAGCTGAACATGTTGGGCTTTTTAGAAAGACACTTAAAACTTGTTTTATTAGCAGCTTGTATCTTTTTTAGCACACCTCTCAATTAATTTTATGTATCTAATTAATTTTCCAGATATGAACATAAATGGGCTTCCCAGATGGCGCTGGTGGTAAAGAACCTGCCTGCCAATGCAGAAGGCTTAAGAGATGAGGGTTTGCTTCCTGGGTCGGGAAGATCCCCTGGAGGAGGAAATGGCAACCCACTCCAGTATTCTTGCTTGGAGAATCGCATGGACAGAGGAGCATGGAGGGCTACAGTCCATGAGGTCATAAAGAGTCAGACACGAATGAATGGACGTAGCATGCATGCACACCCAGGCTTGAACACATATTAGTTTCTTCTCTCACAGCTCAGCAAATAAACCTGAAGCTGAAAAACAGGTATAGTTGAGGTTAGTTCCTTGTGAAGACTCTGAGGGGTCTGTCCCATGCCTCTTTCCCAGCCTTCCGGATCACCGGTTACTTTCAGCATCCTTCCTTGGTGCTGTTCTTCCTTATGTGTCTGTGTGTCCTCTTGCTTGTTATAAGGAAACCAGTCAGTGGAGTTAGGACCCACCCTGGTGTAGTACAACTTTATCTTAAATAATTATATCTTCAAATACTTCATTTCCAAATAGGATAACCTTCTGAAGTTCTGAGTGAATTTTGGAGGTTACTGTTTAACCAATTATAAAACCTCTAAATTTGAAGGAGACACCATTCAATCCATTAAACTCTATGAATGTAGTAAATGTGGGAAATCCTTCAGCTATAGCTCAACTCTTTTTCAGCAGTTGTAAGAACTCTGTTGGGTGCAGACAGTGTAGGAAAGTCTTCAACTCTAAATGATCCTCATTAGGAATCAGAGAATTCATCCTGGAGAGAAGTCATCTATGACTGCAATTAATGGGGGAAAACTTTTCAAAATAACTTCTCTCTTATTCAATAAGAAAAATTAATAATGTATATAAATCTTCTGAATGTAATCAATGTTTAAAAGTTTTCAGATGCCTTATTAACCACAGAGAATGCACACTGGACAGAAATCCCAAGAGTATAATGTCAACAAAACCTTAGCTGGAAAGTGGAGCTCATTTACCTCAAAGATTTCATACTTAGTAATATATTTTTATGTTTATACTGAGGTAAAATTGGCATATAACGTTATATTACTTTCAGGTGCACAACATAATGATCTGTTATCAGTATATATTGCAAAATAAGTTTAGGTAACATCTGTTACCATACATAGTTACAAATGCTTTGTTTTCTTGTGATAAGGACTTTTAAGATTTACTCTCTTAACAGCAGTCAAATTGCAATATAGCATTGTTAACTGTAGTCACCATGGTCTACATTATATCCCTAGAACTTATTTATTTTATAACTGGAAGTTTATGCCCTTTGACCCGCTTCACCCATTTTGCCCCCCAACCCTCACTTCTGGTAATCACGTCTGTTCTCTATAGAGAGCTGAGGTGTTGGGGGTTTTTTTGTTTCTTTCATTGTTTTTTTTTTTTTCCCTTAGATTCCACATATAAGCGAAACTACATAGTATTTGTACAGTCCTTCTCTGTCTGACTTATTTTACTTAGCATAATGCCATCAAGGTCTGTCTATGTCACAAAGACAAGATTTCATTCCTTATTATGACTGGATAATATTTCATTATATATATTTCATATATATATCACATTTTAAAAAGCTGTTCTTCTATAGATGGATACACGGTTTTCCCCCATATCTTGGCTATTGTAAATAATGCAGCAGTGGACATGGAGGTACAGATATCTTTTCAAATTAGTGTTTTTGTTTTCTTTGAGTGAATACCCAGAAGTGGAATTGCTGGATCATATGGTAGTTCTATTTTAATTTTTTGAGGAACCTCCTTACTGTTTTTCATAACGGCTGCATTTTTTACCACTTGAGCCACCTGGGAAGCCACACTACCCTTACTAATGTACTAAATTCATCAGAATGTGTGCAAGCACCTAATTTCCTTACCATGCAAGAACTCATGCATGTGAATAAAAAATAGGTGAGATACATGTAGGTGGAAAAACCAGTCTGGGAAAATCATCTGGAAATGAAACCTCTTTGTGCATCACTAAATGTCTGTTGTGTACAAACCTAATTATTTTATTAATTTGGGGAAAATGTGAAACTCATATAAACATATTCAAAAGTTGATATTGTTTGATACCAAACTAAAGATAAAAACTTATAAGACCATGAGCCTTCAGGATAAAGTTTATAATTTTTTCCATGTTAAATAATTCAGGTAACAGAATAAAAATTCCATATATTCGAATGGAGGAGGAATATAATAGGATATAACTTCCAGTTATATTTTTCAATTATAACTGGAAGTTATAACTTTCAGTATCTTACTTCACTTTTAAACAGCAAATTTAAAAAGATGTATTTTTATGAGGGTCATGTACCGCATATTATCAAACTAGAATTGCTACATATTTTAAGAAGTAACATGATTTTGTGTATCACTAAGACTTTTTAAAAAAACATTTCCCATTTAAGCTGTGTCAGCTCAATGATTATAAGATCCAACATGATTCAGAGATGTTGAGATGTGGGTCGTAAGTGAGTCGTAGAGTTGCTCATCTACATGGCAATTCCATAATGTTTCCTTATGTATAGAGAGAAAAAGCATTGAATTTGAGCCCTAATTCACAAAATGAAGTCTTTCTCATTCTACCAAAAATCTGAAATAGTGCTGAAATATGAATTGGACTTCTTTCTGTAATTTTGTGCTTTTCATTAAATCCATTTTTGAAGTCTGATCTTCTGATATAACAAATGTCTAACATTTTCAGCATCTGTATGGTGAAGGTTTGGCATCCATTGATCATGTTTATCCCTTAAAATTGGTCACATTATCCTGATTCTTTGTATAGTGAATAACTTTAAATTATATTTAGACATTTTGAATGTTGTATTATGTTTTCAGTCCTGTTCTGTCCCTCTTGAGATGTTTTGCTATAGAAGGCAATTAGCCTGGTATGGTTCAACCTGTGTGCCTAATTCAGCTTCTGTGTGTTGGATCCACTAGCTCTTGTTGTGGGTGTAAGCTGTGTGTGTTAAGGGTTAGGCTGAGATACCTGCAGGCACACCCACGGAATTAGGACCCCTCTGTAGGTTCTCCCCTCTGGAATTCCCTCCCACACTCTGTGGCCCTCAAAAGCATCTCTTCTGTATCCTCCGGCCAGATGGATATGGTTCCTATTACCACTTCCAGGCCAATTCATGGGTGAAAAAAAACCCATGAGAGAGAAGAAATAGGAACCTTACTTATTTTTATGTATTTTTAAAGTCTTTTGACCTCTGCTCATGTTTTAATTCCCATACTTACTTCTTTAATGTGTTTTATGCTTATGTTACATACATGATCATTACAGGATATGTACTTTTAGAGATACATAATTCTTTCCTCATTAATTTCAACAGATATTTGATTTTTCAGTGTACTGAAAATTTAGTTTTTTTCCCTCATATATAGTTCATCTTCCTCTGGAGAATGTTTTATGATTGAATTGTTATTTGCTTCTTTCTTGCTCTGGAGGACTAACAACTAGAGAATATATATTCTTTATCACCTTCGTTTGTTAATCTGAAGTCACAACTAACATAAAGGAAAACTTTCATCACTACCAGATCTATATGATAATTCTATAAATTAAATGAAAAGTTAAAAAACTGAAGTGAAAATGCAATGGAAAAGTTTCAGTTGTGCTATGTGAAACCCATTGCTCTTGCTAATTGCAGAGAAAATTTTTGGACAAAGTATAAAAGACAACTCTGAAGAACTCTGAAAAGTAAACAAAAGGGGGCCAGTTATGGAGGGAGTGCTTTGGAGATGCACACTGCATGAGGGTGAGTTTCCTGTTTCTTTTCTCTAGTGAAGTGATAACAGAAACCATGTTGTTCTGACAAAGAGCAAACAGGAGGAGGGGCCTCTGAAAGTCGGAAGGAAATTCTGATTCCTTCTACAGTGAGTATGAGCCTTGAGGACATTGTGCTGAGTGACATAAGCCAGACACAAAAGGACAAATACTGAACGATTCCACTTACGTGAGGACCTAGAGTAGTGAGTGTCATAGAGATAGAAAGTACTGATAGGATGGTGGGTGCCAGGGGTTGGGGAAGTGGATGGGAAGCTGTGTTTAATGGGGACAGAGCTTCAGTTATTCAAAGTGCAAAGAGTTCTTTAGATGGGTGGTGTGTATGCTTGCACAGTGATGTGTCTGTACTTAATGCCTCTCTGCTGCTGCTGCTAAATCACTTCAGTCGTGTCCGACTCTGTGCGACCCCATAGATGGCAGC